AAATTCGAATAGTTTTTGCCCAGAAAGCGAAATTTGAATATCAGACACTTAGGTGCAAGTTTATGCCAAAGTTTCATGTTTTACGTCCCCTTTTTGCTCATTTCTCGGAGGCAAAATGAGCAAGAACGCTCATTTGTACAGAATTCTAGAGAGAAATAAATGGCCCTTTAAGAAAGTGAACCATGGATGGGGAAATGTTGGCAATTTTGGAAAATTCACTTGAACATGACGCTGCTTTTTTCGAAGTTTCTCAAGAACCATTCGAGCTAGAGAATTTGTTTTGGCATCGTTGGATAGAGAATTGAAGAGGGGGGTCAGGAGCCCCCATGACCCCCCTGGATCCGCCCTTGGTTTGAAGTAGATTGGTTTGCAGATGCGCGTTTCTCTACGATATTCTTTTGAGCTTCTCTGCACTGCTCATGTTGACGCCATTATTTTAGTCATGCTTTAGAGTTGGCAAATCTTTAACCGAAACGAATCAATACAAAAACTGATACTTTGAAAATTTGAAGAAAAACCTTTTAACTAAGAGAAATAGGCGCCGCAGGCGCATCTTATTAAAAACCACTTAACATTTCGCATGTTCTTCTCCAAACTCCGACAAAGCGAGCACAGTACAACATACCGAATATTTGCGATGTGTAAAAGTATCAAAGTCCTTGGCAGGAAGAAATGCAAAGACGATGCACATTTAATCCGGCTTAGTGGAAGCGTCACTCGGGTTGCTCAATCCTATACAGAGTGCGAAAAGCAAAGCTCTAAAGGTCATTTTGCGCGATTCGTTGCTGATATTTGACGAATAATGGTGTCAAGTACCCACTAACGAAATCTTTCTCGAAGTTATCAAGAGGTCACCCAAACTATGCAAATTTTCGTCTTTGAATGGCAACTAGAAAATAAAACTTGCCAATTAAAACCAATCGCCTTTAGCCAAGAGAAACTTTTGCCCGAGCTTTGGCAAACACTGACGATTGCTTGCGAGCGTTTGCTCTACTAGAGATGCAACAGCGGAGCGAAGACTTAACCAACATTGTCGAGTTCTTTGGCTTGCCATGCAAAATGCATCTGAACACTGCATAAATTGCCGTCAAATTATCTCTAAACGATTTTCAAATTGAGTGAAAAAATTGGTGTGAATGAGAGACAATTGAACAACGTTCTAGGGTTCACTGGGCAACAACATCAAGTTAGCGCCTCAAAAGAGTGAATTTCTTAGTCAAATTTGCAGTATTTGGACGAGAAAATCAGGGTTTTACTTGCGTTTGCAGAAATGTTTGAAGAGCCAAGAAAAAAATTACTGGAGCAGTAAAAACTGGCCAAATTTCTTCGGTTCTTCGGCGTGGGAAACAGTAATTAATCACCTCTGGTAGCCAATTAGTTTAATTAATCATCGCCGTTAACAAATCCGACTCTATACCGGTCGTAGGTCAAAAGTGGGCTTTTCGCAACACTTTTTCAGGTCAGCGTGAGCAGCATCAAAGCGGCTCACCCCGTAGAAATCGCCATGTACCCATTTATCAGTACCCGCTCAGGTTCAGGGGGGGCGCACAAATTACTATTATTTCATATATAAGCGCATCATGTTTTGTGCAATAATCAGTACCAAGCAATTACAGTTTATTTGGAAAATCATAGTGAGGATGTTCTCCTGCCAAGTCGCGTTTGTCCTGCTGGCGGCCGTTTGTGCGGTTCTCGGTGCCCCACAGAACAAGGAACCAGTGCCGATCATTTCGCAGGAGAGCGACATTCAACCGGACGGGACCTTCAAGTGGTCCTTTGAGTCAGGCGATGGCACCAAAGCGGAGCAGAGTGGCCAGCCCAAACAGGTAAGCACTGGCTCTTCTCCACATTCGGCTCCTCTTCATCGGCGATTCGCTTCAGGTTGAACAGGAGACTCCTCTGGTCTACCAAGGCTCAGCTTCCTGGACTGATAATGAGGGAACCCAACATCAGCTCACTTACATAGCGGATGAGAACGGATATCAGCCCCAAAGCCCCGACATTCCGGTGGCTCCGGAAATTCCCGCAGCTATCCAGAGAGCGCTGGAGTACAACGCCGCTCATCCAGAACAGGACGGGGAAAAGTAGACCAATATCTGCACCTTGAATTACCACCCATCTAACATATCTAAAGGCTGTTTGTGACGTGTGTTGTGTTAATATATGGAGTTTTTTAAACGTTGTTTTTGGTCATTGGTTCAGTACCACTATAAGAGCATGACTCATAAAGACAGCAGCTGTAGGTCTTTCAAAATTGATTCGAAATTGAAATTCAAAAATGTCTCGGGCTTCAATATTGTCCAATGGGGAAGGCTTTGAAAGGTCTAGAAATATGCATATTTCGCTGGAGGTCAACCAAGACAGTGTCCCACTATTATTTATTGGATTTCTGTTAACAGAAGATAGCGTATTTCTAAGGAAGATTTAGTGTCTTCCAGTGTCACTTCTGAATCAAGAAACTCATTAACTGCTCGTCTTCCTAAGGGAACAGAAAAAATGTAAATCTGGCGAAAACTGTTATGCATTTGCACTCTTAGGACGCTTCTCACTTATCTTCAGCATCCTGAACAGATTAGCAAAGAAAAAAATAATCTGGCTCGCTTAATAAATGAAAAATTCCAAGATTAGTTGCCGTTACATGGTCCACCCAACCAAACTATATACATATTTTAACCCTTTTTTGCACTGTGCACATTACTAGCATCTATAAAGCTTCTGTGATAAGCTGACGTAATTAGTAACAATTAAAAAAGTAAACTTAATTAAAGTAGACTTAATTTGAAATTAGCAGACATTTTTTCTTTGAGGAACTTCCTTGCTGCATCTGTATATCTGTGCCGAATCGAGGCCAATCACTTTCTCCCCACTATTGAACCCGACAATCCCATATACACCATTCAGGATGGGCAGCAATCCATGCCAAAGTTTCATTTAAAAATTCGTCACTTTTCATCTGAAGCACCTATTGACTTGGAATTTTCACAGTCTGGAGACAATAGTTGAGTCTACAAAGTGCAAAAATTTCGTTTCAATCACACTGAATCCTGAGTTTTCACAAATGTGGAAAGTTCAGAGCAAAAATGAACGGTTTTCCTACACTGCATGGGTGCGTTAAAAATTCGCAGGTTTCAAGCTGGGACAGATATGGACGTGAAATTTTCACAGTCTAAAGCAAACCGTCAGGGTCTAGAAGCTCAAAAAACTGCAACTCAACCTCATCAATTTGCAATTTTTGGTAGATTTTTAATCCCAGGACTAAGAAAAACGGGTTGTTGCAGCTGCAAGTTTCATTTAAAAATTCGTCACTTTTCATCTGAAGCACCTATTGACTTGGAATTTTCACAGTCTGGAGACAATAGTTGAATCCCCAAAGTGCAAAAATTTCGTTTCAATCACACTGAATCCTGATTTTTCACAAATGTGGAAAGTTCAGAGCAAAAATGAGCGGTTTTCCTACACTGCATGGGTGCGTTAAAAATTGGCAGGTTTCAAGCTGGGACAGGTATGGACGTGAAATTTTCACAGTCTAAAGCAATCCGTAAGGGTCTAGAAGCTCAAAAAACTGCAACTCAACCTCGTCAAATTACAATTTTTGGTAGATTTTCAATCCCAGGACCAAGAAGAACGGGTTTTTGCAGCTGCAAGTTTCATTTAAAAATTTATCACTTTTCATCTGAATCACCTATTGACTTGGAATTTTTACAGTCTGGAAACAATAGTTGAGTCTACAAAGCGCAAAAATTTTGTTTCAATCATACTGAATCCTGATTTTTTACAAATGTGTAAAGTTAGGAGCCAAAATGAGCGGTTCTTCGACAGTGCGTGGTTTCCCTTAAACATTTGTGAGTTTCGTATAGTTTGTCGTTATTTACGTTATTTGCATCTCCAACCAACTCAACTAAAGATTACACACCTGAAACATGCATGAAACAGCGAACAAAAAGCAGAGAAAACCAAAATTATTATTCTCGTTCTTCGTTCTCAGATCCCAGACTATTTATCTGCGCAGAAACAAGGCCTTATCAGCCTTGGATTTGCGCTAAAACTCCGGCTTTAGTGTACATATTCTGTTTCATTTTAAGCCTTAAGAGTCTTAAATCTCTCTAGAAATAGGTACCAATAAAAAAAACATTAAAAATCCAGTAAAACTATTTAATTTTTTATTGATGCACATTAGGAAGACTTCGGAGGTTCTGTTTGAGGTTGGGCAGCAATCCATGCCAAAGCCCTGGCAATCTGAGCGGGAATTTCTGGAGGAACTGGGATGTCGGCACTTTGAGCCTGGAACCCGTTCTCATCTGCCACGTAGGTCACCTCGTGAGGGTTTCCCTCAGGATCAACCCAGGAGGCGGATCCTTGAACTGAAGCAATGGATTCATCAGGTGTGGGTCCAGCCTTAACAGAACCGACTTGTTCCTGTTTGGTTCCATCGCCACTTTCGTAGTTCCACTGAAAGCTTCCATCGGGCTGAATGTCGGAAGTCTGCTTCAGAATGGGGACGGGTTCCACAGGCCCAGCAGGGGCGCTTAAAGCCACCGCCACCACAGCAGAGAGGAGAGCTAATTTGGTAAACATTTTTTTCGCACTACCAAATGTGTACTGAATACCCCTTGGTTGTACTGCATGGCTTAAATAGCTATTTACCCACTCCTACCATGTGGGCACCCAAAATTGTGATAATACAGGTCAAGTTCGCCGATGGTACCACTAATAAAATAGGAAAATAGCTGGCGGTACTATTCACGTCTTCGGTTATTCAAATTATGTAAATCCTCGAGCAATATAACCTGCATAATGTTATTGCTAATTACGTCGGATCTTGAAGGGTATTTGCTGGAGCTAATCATTAGTTTTATACTCGGATTATTTAATCATAGTTTTAAGTAGCGATTATTTCTTATGGTACATAATTGCATGTAGGCGCCCCCTGGATTATGGGAAAATATCGCTGAACTCAGGAGGTGTTGAGACCCTCAGAGTTAAAATGCTTGCAGCAATGCCGCCTCTTGCATAACGTCTGCAACTGCAATTAGCAGAGCCCTGCTAATTAAAGTGACTTCCAACCTGCAGCCAGTGGGGGCGCAGAAATAGAAATCAACGATATAAATAAAAAAAAATCCTCAACTCCATCAGTACCACCAACATGATTTCTCAGCTGTTCTTCCTCTCAAGTCTTCTGGCTTTAGCCCTAGCAGTACCAGTGGACCAGACGGCGCAGCCAGTGGAAATTATCACGCAAACTTCGGACATCGAGCCAGACGGCAGCTTCCGGTGGAACTTTGAGTCTTCAGATGGAACCAAGCAGGAGCAAAGTGGTTCGCTGAGAGCCGCAGTTAAGGACGAGGAGGGACCCATTGCTTCCGTAAGCGGTTCGGTCAGCTGGAAGGACCCAGAAGGCAACTTGCACCAGCTGAAGTATGTAGCCGATGAGAAAGGGTTCCAAGCCCAAGGGGCTGATATTCCTATTTCACCGCCAATTCCTGCGGAGATTGCTAAGGCTTTGGCTTTCATCGCTGCCCATCCAGAGCCGGAAGGATCCACCGAGAAAGCCTAATTTTTCATAACATGTTGTAAATGTAAATGATTAAAAGTTTTGGAACATCTCCAAATGGTCGGTTTATTCATTACACACAACAATGATGTATATAAGATCTTTTTCTTGTCAGTAGAACACTCGACTCTTATGGCCATTATTCCCTCAGGTGATGATAAATAATGATGCCTACTACATTCACATTTGGAAGATATTTGCTGGCCTCAGCTGGTCGTAATGATAATCATTTGTCAATCATGAGATGAATATTGAATTAAATGGATGGTAAAATCTCTTTGATGTGAACCTATTGGATGGTTTTACATGTTTTCAATGTAAACGAGCCGAAATATTTGCATAGTTGCTTAGCATGCGTATGCGGAAGTCGTTTTTCCAAAATTCTTTTCTAGGCGGAGGTTCGTAAGTAGATTACTAACTGATTGTTGAAAAGTTTGTCAAATTAGAACTGAAACTGAGAGTTTCACCGCACTGCATAGAAAGCAGTTATGTCAAACGTTACACTGATATATTTTTTTTGCAAAAAAAGTTTCCATAATAATTTTAAAGCGAATTTAAATTCAAGTCAGATATTTTCCTCAAGGGCGGATCCAGGGGGGAATCATGGGAGGCATGCCCCCCCCCCCCATTCAATTCTCTATCCAACGATGCCAAAACGAATTCTGTGACTCGAATGGTTCTTGAGAAACTTCGAAAAAAGCAGCGTCATGTTCAAGTGGATTTTGCAACTCAAAAAAAAACACGCAAATCTAAAACTTCTTGAATTCAAGCATTTTTTGAGAAAACTGGCAACATTTTCTTATCGATGGTTCACTTTCTAAAAAGGCCATTTATTTCTCTCTAGAATGATGTACAAATAAGCGTTCTTGCTCATTTTGCCTCCGAGATATGAACAAAAACGGGACGGAAAACATGGAATTTTGGCATAATCTTGCACCT